CATCCCTTCTCCCCACGCCCCCTTCCCGCCATCCCTGCATCCCCGTCGCTCTGCGCCGCGCGGTCCCCCGGTCCGGCGTCCCTTCCCGCCGCTCGCAGGCCCCACGAGGGACAGGCGCGGCCCCCCCGCCCCCGGGATGGGACTTTGTCGCTTGATGAGCTTCTTGTGTGGGGACCTCGTGGCTCGTTCGAGCCCGCGCGAGGTGCCTTGAAGGGAGCGGCAGGATGTCCGCCTCTGCGTTTGCAAGTTGTGTTCTGCCGAGCGTGCAGGGGGTTCCTCCGGGTTCGTCTGTAACGGAATCGGCTTTATGTACTCTCGGTTCCGTGACCGGAGGGAACAGTGTGCAGTTTTGTTCGTGGCGCCCTCTGGTCCTGGCTGAGGATGGGGCCTGCAGGAGGCAGTGGGGCCCCACACTGGTCCTTTTCCTTCACATCGATCCAGGGTTTCCAAGGTGGGCTCCATTCCCTGACCCGGTGGGGTGCGCCCTCCCTGACCCGGTGGGGGTGCGCCCCCCCTGGCCCGGTAGGGTGCGCTTTCCCTGGCCCGGTGGGGTGCGCCCCCCAGTGCGGTGCGCCCACCTTGATCCGGTGGGGGTGCGCCTCCCCCTGACCCGGTGGGGGCTGGCACCCTGACCCGGTGGGGTGCACTTCCTGGCAGTGTTGGGCCTCTGGTTGTTCGTTGTGTTCGCGTTTCTGTAAGACTGCTCTCAGTACAGCCTTTCCTTTAGCTCCAAAACCGTAATAGAAACAGGTACAGATTTAGGACTTTAGCTGTTGTCCAGTTGACGGAGAGTATATTTTCCGCTGTGACAGAACTTTTTCGGGTGACACTTAGATTTCTTTAATGCAAAAAGTTTTTCACTTGGAACAATATCAAAGTGAAAAGTTCTTGAACCCAGTCTGAAGTTGTCGTGGGCTGCCTGCTTTTTCTCGAAGCATCCTCTAGGTGGACTTGGTTATTGTGGTGGGAGAGGGAACGGTGGGCACAAGATTGAGGACAGAGGAGAGAAGGTCGGGTGGCATCCCTTCTGGTGACGGGAGAAAGCAGGGCCATCCCAGTCGGCTCCTGGGCCTTGTCCCTGTGTCTGTCTGGAGCCAGACGCCAGTCGCTGCCTGCCTGTGTGGTCTTTGGTCTCCCTCTGCTGCGTTCCTTGGCTCGAGGACTCGAACTCCTCGCCTGCGGTGCCCTACCCAGCTGTGAGGGGGGTAGGAGCGCAGCAGCTTCCTCTGGGCTCCTGAATGGCCCGCCCACCGGCCGACCCCTGTGATCCATGGCTCTGAACCCTCTGAGGGCTGCCCTGGGACGGAGCCCTGACTCTTCTTCCGGGTGGCTTCCAAGGCCCTGCCCCACCTGCAGCCTGACCCCTGGGCGCCAGCTGCTGTAAGCCTGCATCTTCCTGCCTGTGCCTCCTACCTCTGCATCCCTGTCACTTTTGCAGCCTCGCCCCCCTTACTGTGGACGGACAGGGGCCAGGTCTGTCCTGTCCCAAGCTATGTGCTTACTGCTCAGGCGAGGTGCACTGTGGACACTCAGCTAGCTGTAGAGTGAGTGAACGAGCGAAGGGGGCCGGATGTAAGAGCCGAGCCAGAAATCCACCACACCCCTCAGGCCCCGGTCGCAGGGTCGTGGAGCCGCCGGGCTTTGGAGCAGCTCTAGGAGCTGTTCTTTAGCGCCAGGCAGAGATTCTGGTTTTAGATGTTGGCTCACAGATTCTGGAAGACGCTCAAGAAAGAACAGGTGAATGGACTGTTTCAGCCCCTCAGAAAGGGAAGGTTACTTTGTATACACCTGGTTGCGCTCTTTCAGAGGCCGTGTCAGAATATTCGCCAGAATCCTCGTGGTGTACTTATACGTTGGTGGCAAAGCTGTGGTTACTGTTCAGCTGTCCCCAGTGTGGTCTGGAGTATGTAACTTGTAAATGCTAACTTCCGAGTTTCGCTTTGCAGAAACATTTTGCTTTTCACAAAGCGGTGCTTTGCGAAGCTTTTTACTTCTCTGCGAAGCTTTTTACTTCTCTGCACCGTATTATGCAAAGGTTTCCACAGAGGAAACTAGCCTGTGGAAGCATACAGAGCCTGCCTCCTGAATCAGTAAATAAACCGATCCAGCAGTGACTGAGACAGCCAAGGGCTGCTCAGAGACTCACCTAAATTCCGAGTGAGGGGAAGGTGGTGAGGGCGCCTGCCCTCACCTGTGCCGCTGGGGAGGGGCTGTTAGTCACCTGCAGGCTAATGACCAGGCCATCTGTCATTTAGTAGCAGATTTAGCAAGGAGCTTAAGTATCTCTTTGGGCAGAAAATAACTCGTTAAGACATGAAAACTGAATAGTACGGAATTGGTTAGCCTCGTGGTGATTTGCTGTTTTGGGAGTCCCAAAGCGGTGTCTGTCACCTGGGTATTGGGGGTTACTTCCTGTTGGAACCCCCAGGTGTGAGTGCACCCCACTTCCAGCTCTGATGTTTCCTCATTTCTGAACTCCTGTGACCTGGGCCAGGGTTAGGGTTAGAATGTACTTCCCAGAAAACAGTCTGGCTTCCTTTACACCTTGGAACGGAGTCCTTTATGTGAGGACACTGCGGGGTTCACCCTCTCCCAGTTAAATCCACAGAGAGCATTGCCATGAAGGCTGAACGCAGGGACAGGCTCCGACCCAGCACGTTTGCAGGGAGGCCTGTGTGCAGTTTTAATTTCCCAGAGGCAGGTGATCTTTGTCTCCAAGTTCTGTCCAAATACATGAGTTTTGATGAAGGAAGGGACGAAGGAGGAAGGGAGGAAGGAAGGAAAGAGAAAGGAAGGAAGGAAGGAAAAAAAAGAAAAGAAAAGAAAAGAAAAGAAAAGAAAAGAAAAGAAAAAGAAAGAAAAGGAAGGAAGGAAAGAAGAGGGAGGGAGGCAGGCAGGCAGCGGGTGCCCCTGGTTTCAGCCTGCATCCCGAGTCAGGTGTGGCCCTCCTGGGGCCGGGGGTCCCACACCCCGCACACTTCCAGGCCTGGTGGCTTCCAGCTGCTTCTCTGACCTGCCAGGCTTCCGAGCACCCACCCCAATGCTCCTGCTGCCCCTCTGTCTGGGTACTCCACGCACGAGACTGCTCTGCTGAAGAGCGTGAAGGGGTGCATAAAGGGGAGGGCAGCTTGACTCTGGTGTTCGTGAGCCGCGGGTGGCAATGGAAAGCCGGGAGGAACGTAACATGGGAATGAGGATTTCCAGGACAGCAGGCGTCGCGTGGGAAGACACAGAGGGCCGGCTGCAGCGGGGCCCGGGCCCCCCCCCCCCCCCCCCCTGCCTGGGGGTCTGAGGCTCTGGAGCGGGGCCCTGGGAGCCTGAGAGCACGGCCTCCGTTGGTGCACGTGTAGCCCAGTAAGGTGCAGCGTCCTTGCCGCTGGCCGGGCAGCGCAGCCCCCGAGGCAGGGGGTGGAGGCCCCACGCCCGTCCTGGTGTCCCAGGTGAGTAGACTCCGAGGTCCCCGGACGCCCAGGCAGGCTCAGTGCCCATGAGCCCTGCCCTCGGGGACTGGCTGTCTCTTCGACTGCACCAAGAGCCGCCTGTAATCCGGTTCTCATTTTCCGGAAGGGCGAGCACATTGCACTTAACTGTGGCTAGCGTCGAGGAGTGGGGAAGGGGGTCCGGGATTGGAGAGACTTGACTTTCCATCCTGCCTGCTCTCTGGTCCTGAAACAGAGTCTTACTGTGTGTGTATGCACACACACGCAAGTATGGACGCGCGCACGCAGTCATGTTTTGCGTTCTTCTTAATTTCAGAGTACTGAACAAAGTACTGTCAGTTTTACGTCTCGTTTTAGAAAACGAAGCTTTTGCCCCTGAAACTGGCCAGTCAAGCGCCCTGTTGCAGAGGCCGGTGCTTGCCCGCCCTCTGCCCCCGCAGGCATCCGCCCACCAGAGGCCTCGCCCCAGATGGTGGAGAAAGTCCGAGGACGTGTCCTGAGCGCTCTGTTCCTGCGAGTCTGAGCAGGACTCCCACAAATCGTGTTTCACAGAGCTTCACCCCTACCCTGCCAGAGACCTGGGGCCTTGCTGGCACTTTGTTCCTTCACCTTCCTGCCCCCAGGGCCTTCCGCCTCTCTGACCTTCCCGTCCTGGACCGAACGTCCGTCCCCAGAGCTCGCCCCTCACAGTTTGCTGCAGTGGGTCGGGACGAGGAGTGTTTCCCACATTTCTGGTGTTCCGCAAGCCTTTGTAAGTCTGCAGATTGTTTTGCAAATGAGGCCAGAGCGAAGGGTGTGTCTGAAGCGTGAGGACAGGTGCTTGTGCTTCTCAGGCCCAGTCAGTCATCCTGCAGCCCTCCCTTTCACAACGGGCAGCAGCGTGACTGAGTTGCACGTTCCTGGTGTTTTGTGTTTTCCCCGTGTGGTAGCCTTGCACACTTCAGTGAGTGCACCTCTGCTAAATGCTGCCCTTCGGGGCGCCTGGGTGGCTTGGTCGGTTAAGCGTCCGACTTCAGGACTTGGGCTCGGGTCATGATCTCACGGCCCATGAGTTCGAGCCCCACGTCGGGCTCTGTGCTGACCGCTCAGAGCCTGCAGCCTGTTTCAGATTCTGTGTCTCCCTCTGTCTCTGCCCCTCCCCTGTTCATGCTCTGTCTCAAAAATAAATAAACGTTGGAAAAAAATAAAAAATAAATTAAAAAATAAATAAATGCTGCCCTTAAACGCAGACGCAGCAGTGGCACCCGCCTCTTCTAGCACAGGGTCCCCTCAGTTCTCTCACACCTGCTGATGCCCCACGAAGCTGCCAGGGACCGGCTGGGCAGAGCCGCTGGCTCCGTCAGTGCTCACGCGTGGGACGTGTTCCAGGTGCCTGGACACCGTGGCCTTTTTACTCCCACGAGTCTTACTTCCGTCTTAGAGCCAGTGTGGTGATTTCTTTTCCCACATAAAGTCTTTCTGAAGAGCATCTTTAGCAGTGTTAATATTTGAAACCCGTAGGACGGGGGCACAGAGCCGGGCTCAGACAGAGTCCCTGAGGCCTGGCGGGCAGGTCTGCTCCACATAGAGCATGCCCAGAAGTGACCCTACTCCAAGACAGCCGGGAATCCCAGGGCTGAGGGCCTGGTTGGGATCAGGCCCTGAATGTTCCCAGCGTAGGGCCCACGGCGGAACCCCGTCCCTGTGGCGCTAAGTCTCTCACCAGCAGGAAGGAGTTGAGTCCTTAGTCACTTCTGTGCCATGCGACTCACGAGCTCTACGTCCTCGTGGGCCCACGGAGCTCAGCAGCTCCCAAGTCCCCCCGGAGCTCAGAGTCCCCCTCCCCTGCCCCCCAGAGCAGCCACGGCCACCGTTGCCTCCGGCCCCCACCCCACGCCCTCCCATCCTGTCCCGGTGGCTTTTGTGTGCTGTGCCCAGGAGCGCTTGGACCAGCCCACTCCACACTTCCCCTTCCCCAGGGTAGTTGGGGTAGAGAGCTCCCAGGCCCCTCTCCACCGCTGCCAGGCTTGGTGTGAGACCCACCCTCACCCCGAAAGTGTTACGGTGGGCCGGGAGCTCCCTGCAGCTGGGGGGTCAGAGGCAGGATCCTCCCTACATCTGAGGGAGGACACAGCCAGGATGCTCTGGGAGCTCCCTACACCTGGGGGGACAGAGCCAGGATCCTCCCTACATCTGGTGGGGGGGGGGGGAGAGCCAGGATGCTCTGGGAGCTCCCTATATCTGGGGGGTCAGAGCCAGGATCCTCCCTACATCTGGGTGGGCAGACAGCCAGGATGCTTTGGGAGCTCCCTACAGCTGGGGGGGGGGGGGGGGACAGAATGTACCCTCGAGTCTCCTTGCAGCTGGAGAGGGACTCACACAGCTGGGGGCTGGAGGCGGCATGTGGTTAAGGGGCTCCCTGCAGTTGGGGGACAGGGCCTGGAGGTTCCCCAGGAGCTTCCCGCAGATGGTGCCCTGGAGCCATCATTTTGGGGAAGCCAGCTGTTGGGGGTGAGGTTGAGCGGAGATGTCCTGGGGGCGCTCAGTCTGTGAGGGGAGTGGGGTAGGAGGTGCCTGGACGGGGGTGTCTGCAGCTGGAGGCAGGGCATCGTAGGGCTCCAGGAGGGGCCCCTTGCAAGGGACTGAGGATGTGCTATGACCCTGGGCCCCACAGGCTCTCTGTGGATTGGAAGCCTCTGGAAATGCTTCAGCTCTTGAATTTCAAGATTCTTCTATTCAGATCCTGCCGAGGGCCCTAGAGATAAGGGATTTCCCAGGGCGCAAGGCCAGGTGTGTCTGTGGGGGTGAACAGCTGGGGGGACCGGGTCTGTGCCTCTCAGGTGCGTCTGGGGGGGGGGAGGGAGGGAGGGAGGATTGACAGTTACTTATTTTTCTCAGTCTTCCTCCCTGCCGCACGCCAGCCCTGAGGCCCCCACCGGGCAGGGCAGGTTGGTGCCCCTCGCACGTTCCCTGCCCCTCGGACTGCGCTCTGCTCTGCTCTGCTCGTGGCTGAAGCAGTCCTGACCGTGAGGCGAGCGACGGTAAGCTGCTCCCCAGGACCCTTGCGCCCCCTTCCGTGCCAGGACACGCCCCGACCTGAGACACTGCTGTTAGGAGCTGCGGGCTGTGTCCTCGGATGGATGGACCTGACCTGAGCGTCACTTTGTCAGGACTGAGCTTCAGGGCCGGGCCCTGCTGTGTCCCGGGGCAGCAGCTGTGGGAGGAGCAGACGCTTCGTGGGCAGGTTAGCTCACAGCTCCTGGTGCGGCCGGAGCACAGGGACTCAGGTGCTCATCCCCAAAGGCCCCGCTGCACTCT